GGGTTGGGCACTAACTGTAGACAGGGTGGGACAGCCATTCTCCGAGTCTCTAGCTTTTCTTAAAAACTGAACATCTCAGCACAGTTACAGGGACCCACAGTGAGGAGCACTGTCATTCCCGGTAGAACGCAGGCTGCTGATCTGCAAGGTTCGGAAGGTTCCAGCCACAACGAACCTAAGCCCATCGCTGTACAGGGCGCAGGGGGGACCGCAGGGCCATCCTGGCTGGGAAGGGGTGAACCCGCCAGCCTGTGCCACCCCCGGCCACTCACCTGGCCTCAATGTCGTCTCTCCCAGCTGCTGATGGTCGTGTCCGTTGTCCTGGAAAGGAACCCCGAGCTCGAGTTTCAGGACAAAGTCGACCTGGACAAGCTGGTGAAAGAAGCGTTTCAGGAATTTCAGAAAGATGAGAGTCAACTCAAGGGCGTTGAAAATCAGGTGAGTAGAGAAAATAGCTTTTCGTAGATTTTTTTCCTGCCTCAATTCTTCAAACTATCCCAACCTCTTACCGTGTAACTGGCAGATTCCCAGATGGCACAAGGGAGAACTTGGGGTGGGGAGGGGCAGGAGGTCTGACTTACCTGAGGAATTCAGGCTACTTTTTATTTAATTATGAGTCAATTCCACCATGAAGTTCTGTAGAAGGAAACCTGGGAATTTCCTGCACAGAGGCAGCGGGTCAGGCGTGCTTTACAGAGAGGAGCCCGGGCCCCAGGAGGCTGCAGGATTCCACCCTGTAGGGAGGGGTGTGACCAGGCTCTGCGGGCGCCGTGTGCGCCCCCTACAGGCTGTCACATTTAGGCCCGGCTGTCAGGAGGCCTGAGTAAACAAGCACCGTCAGCCAGAGGAGAATCGGAAAAGGCCTGTCCTGTTTTGTTGGCTGAGAAGACACCTCAGGACCGGGAAGGGAAGCTCTCGGCGGCGTGTTTTCCAGGAGGGAACCCCGAGAACGACCTCCCGGGGCGGCTCTCACTTCACCTGTCAGAGCGGAGGGGAGAAGGAGAGAGACCTCAGTGATGAGAGAGTCATGGGTGCCGTCTCGGCTCCTGACTGTCCCCTCGTGTGCCGACGTGGTCTCCTAGTCTAGTCCCTTCCCCTAAACACACTGCTGAGGTGACGATGGCTCCTGAAAACGGGAGGTTAGTTCTCACAGCGCCGGAGGGGTTCACAATTCGACATGAGATCGAGCCCCAGAGCTGGGAGGCTCTCGGGTTTGTAGAGACCGAAAGGGGTTCTTGGGGAGGGAGCGGAGCTCCTCGTGGTGGAGCCAGGTTCCCCCACGCAGCGGTGACGCTGGGCTCTCTGTTCTAGCAACCGACCCTGTCGGACATGACCATGTACGAGATGAACTTCTCGCTCCTCGTGGAAGACATGCTGGGCAACATCGACCAGCCCAAGTACAGGCAGATCATCGTGGAGGTGCGTGGGCGCGCGGCCTGCTGGTGGGCGCTTTCTCCTTCTCCCTGAAAACCAGGCAGAGACGGGCCAGGAGACCAGAGCTTCCCACCTGCCTGCCCCCCACCCTCCCGGGTCCTGAAGAGGACAGCGCCCTGACCTCTGACCCGAGCCGATGCGTAGGCACAGTTCCCACGTCCCACGTCCCACGTCCTTGGGCAGAAGGATGTCCAGCTTTGTCAGCGCTCTGGCCTCAACAGCAAGCGCATCATAGAGAGCGCGCACCTTTCTGTTTTTTAAAAGATGTTTTTATTAATTTCAGAGAGGAAGGGAGAGGGAGAGAGTGCATTTTTAACAACATGACAGTGAGGACAGCGCCCTGACCTCTGACCCGAGCCGAGGCGTAGGCACAGTTCCCATGTCCCACGTCCTTGGGCAGAAGGATGTCCAGCTTTGTCAGCGCTCTGGCCTCAACAGCAAGCGCATCATAGAGAGCGCGCACCTTTCTGTTTTTTAAAAGATGTTTTTATTAATTTCAGAGAGGAAGGGAGAGGGAGAGAGTGCATTTTTAACAACATGACAGTTCCCAGAGAAACTGCTGTGGGATCATGGATTCATACTCATTTGGGCCCTAACCGGTTTGGCTCAGTGGATAGAGCGTCGGCCTGCGGACTCAAGGGTCCCAGGTTCGATTCTGGTCAAGGGGCGTGTACCTTGGTTGCGGGCACATCCCCAGTAGGGAGTGTGCAGGAGGCAGCTGATCGATGTTTCTGTCTCATCGATGTTTCCAGCTCTCTATCCATCTCCCTTCCTCTCTGTAAAAATCAATAAAACATATTAAAAAGAAATAAAAATATACTCATTTGGGTGCTGGGCTCCGAGTCACATGATCATGAGCCTCCATCCACAGTCTCCACGGACTGTCCTGCTGCCTCTGGCTTTGTTGCCTCCCATGTCCTCTGGGAGCTCCCGCAGACGCAGATGTTGGTGTCTGGCCGACAAGGATTACTGCCCAGCGGCCAGGAGAGTTCAGACACGGGGGGGAGGGG